ATATATATATATTATCATATTATAATATATATATATATAATTTATTTATTTATTAGGGTACAAGTCCAATAAAGGACCAAACTATGGCCCAAATACAAGCAGTCCCAGGCCCAAACTGGTTCAAGACCCATTGAAGCTAGGGTTTCTAGAACCCTAGCCAGCTTCTCTCCAGCGCCGTTCTCCCCTTCAACGAGAGTCCCACGCCTCACGACTCTCCCTCCGTGTTTCACGGTGCACGTCTCTCACCTCCAACAGCTCCGAAGCGTCCGGCGAACGAAATCCATTCATCACCAACAAACACAAACAGATTGCATTAGTGTTTTATTCGGTTGTAAATACCTAAAAATAGGATTTTTATTCCTATAAATATATGTAATCAGAACCCATTGAAGGGGACGAAAAAAACAAGGGAGATTTTTCACACGAAATAGATACAAAACCCTAGCAAAAAATCGCATAAAATATTAGAGTGAAACAGAGGAATTCCCGCAAAGTTTTCGGAAGGAAAAGGTAAAAGTTTATACCTTTATCGCTTTAGATGCTTGCATGCATGGTCTCTTCGTCATTTTGGTTCGAATAGAACCCAAAAGAAGCGTTTTAGCCGATGAACAAGGGGCGTTTTCAGGATCTTCTTTTGTAGATCTAGCCTCCGAGGCTCATTTTTTATAGAAAATATTTTGATTTTTGAAAACTAGATTTAAAAAGCTTTGAAAAACAGAAAAAAACCTGGTTTTACCGCCGATGAACGGCGGCCGTCACCGTTCAACGGCGGTGGCAAGGCGACGCGGTGGCCATGTTCTGGGAACCACGGCCCTTGTTCTTCATACTGAAGAACAGTTTGAGAGAAAAGAATGAGGGGAGGGCGGCTGTTTGGAGAGAAAGAAAAGAAATAAAATTTTAAAACCAGGTTTTTGACACATATACACCCCGGAAACCACGTGTGTTTAAAGAAAATAGGGTAAACTACCGTTTTGGTCCCTCGCTGTTTTTAAAGAATTATTTTAACCTCGAATTTGCTTTTGAATTGGTCTCTAATTCTGATTTTCTTTCAATTTAGCCACCCAACTTGTTTTTGATTCAATTTAATACTTATACTGACCCTTTTATTTATTTCATATTATGTAATTATATATATATATATATACGTATTTTCTACATATTTCATCTATATACTTATTATTAATACATATATATTATTTTGAATTAACTTTTTGGTCATTTCTTTATCTAGCTACTATGTCTTATAATTTTATATGTTATGTATGTTTTTTATTATTATTCACCAACCTTACTCATTTTATCTTATAATTATATTTCTATTAACATTTTATTTTCTGTATTTATGTATGTATATATATATATATATTCATTTTACCTATTGTTGATATTTTTCCTTTCTAATACTTTAATATATATATATTTCTCGTTTCTTTCATTAATTATTTATTCCATTTTTATTTTATTTATTTCCCCCTTTTACTTTTACTTTTCATTTTTATTTTTTTTCTTTCTTCCCCTTTATTTTATATTATTTTACTTTATATATATTTGCCTCTGTTTTTATTTCTGTCATTTTTTGTTGTATTCATTTTAATTATGTCATTTATTTTTTATCTTTAATATTTCTCTTGATTATGCGTTTCGTTTTCCTTCTTTATCTTATTGTCTTCATTTTTATTTGTTATCCTCACCGTTTTCCCTAATATTATTTTCACGACTTTTTAAGGGTATTTTCGCAAACTATTAAAGGTAAGTAGTTTGGACCGACATTTTTTACCCTTTAATTTAAAATTACAAGTTTCTTAATTAAAGACAACTGGAAATTACGTAGTACCGAAAGGGCGGTTCAAGGGTGCTAATCCTTCCTTGACCGTAACTGACTCCCGAGCCCGACATATTTCTGGTAAGACGCAGATCAGGTAGGAAATAGGGTATCCGATCAACCCATTTATTTTTAAACAAATGATCGGTGGCGACTCCAATCCACATTTTTCAAGTCGAAGCCCAATTCCGGGACCCAACCGAAAGACGGTTCCGACACTATGGACTAGTTATATCTTTTGCTATATGCTTAGGGAAGGACTTAAAACCGATTATTGTTCTTAAGAGTGTACAAACATATATATATATATATATATATATATATATATATATATATATATATATATATATATATTTTCTCAGAACACCATAAAGAATGTGTCTTTATGGCATTAAGTTTCACTAACTAACAATGCAATTAAAAATCTTGTTTCAACTTGGTCACAGGTTGTTTATTGGAATTCAGATGAAAACTCAAATCTTTGGCATGATTCTCTTGTTGACACGATTGGAAAGAGTAAAAAGAAATGATGAAATAAGCTATAGAATAAATATGAAAGGTGATTCTTGATTCGGATTAAGGGTTCAGGGTTCAAATTTTAAGGTTTAGGGTTTATTACAAATATATTAATTAATCGACTTGATACCTATTTATGAGGTAAGTATAATATATTATCTTGATATTAAATGCTCAAACCCTTGATATTTATGATATTTGGACCCGAAACCTCAAAATATAACAACAATTTAAAAAATTAGTTATTAAAAATATTATCATTAGAAATATATTAAATAATTCTCATTAGATAAATAATTTTTTTATTAATTTAAAATAAATATAAGAATATTTATTCAAAATAATTTTTAGCCATTTTCAATTTTTCTATTGTTTGTTTTTTTTTCTTATTTTTTATTTTATTTTTCTACGCTGCCAAGTATTTGTGCAGTAAAAAGTTAAAAAAGAAAGAAAAAAATCAACCAAACATGTGTAATTTAACATTTGCTTAATTAAATGGACTTTTATTTTTCTTTTAATAATATACAATGTAACAATTGAACTTGACCTGATTAATTAAAAAATTTAAAATTTGAGGGTAGTTTATTATAGAATTTTTAATATATTTTTAAAATTTTATAATTATCAATAATGTATTTTTAATATATTTTTAATAATGTAATTTTAAAAAATCTAAAATTATAATAAAACATTTTTTCGAGCTGCTCACGAGCTTTTCGAGTCAAATATCGAGTAGTTCGTTTCGGCTCGTTAAGAACTCGAGTCGAGTCCATTCGATCCGAGTATATATCGAGCCTTGATCGAGTCGATATCGAGTAGCTCGCGATCTGTCTCGTCTCATTTACAACCCTAATTGGAATAAGAAAAGAAAAGAAAACAATTGGTTGTAAGAAATCATAGAGAAAATAAACTTAGAAAAGGATAGAGAATTTGAGAGGGATGCATGCATGGTACTTACTTGCCTTGAAGTGATGAAAAATATGGAATTCAATTTGGTCTCATATTTTGTTATGGTATAAAAAGAGACATACATAAGATTTTATGTTAGATGACGATCTTTTAAATTGTTAAAAACAAATAAATTTCTAAAATTATTGGGAGTAAAAATAGATTTTCAGTAAACAAATATAAAAAAAATTTAAAATATATGATAATTTGAATGTTAGAGAGAGACTATTGTCCCATCCGTCCTTTCCATCCAACCCTCTTTAAAAATAATCGAGCGTGAAATAATAATAAAAAAAGGAACTAGTTGTGGAAATGCAACCCGCTTGATATTTTATCCCTTACAAGTAGTGGGTGTAGAACGTCCACCAGTATTCGAGTTATTTTAGTTGCTTTTCACACGTCTGAGTAAAAGATCCCTTCACGAAAAGTTTTGATCAGAGTACGCAATTTGAGAATTATATGTCAAATAAAAGGTTGCTTTAGTATTTAAATTACAGCATTTTACGTATTTAAAATTGTTATATATATGTATAAACTCAATTTTCAAAGGTTCTTTCTTCCATTTTGTGCCTCATCCATTTCGGCCTTTGAAGCCCTTATATTGATTCAGGGTAAAATAACCATGACTAGTTAGATCAATGATATTTTGATTTTGTTAATTACACTATTTAATTGTTAAAGTGTTACCAAACAAATTACCTACTACAAATATTTAACAGAATAATTGATGTTATACTTTAAAATTTAATATAATTATATATTTGCTTTACCCGGAGTAGAAAGGTCGGATTAATTGGTTATTGATTTATGTGTTCGATAGCGGTGACAACTCTAATAAATAGGTGATTGTTCCGTAACTGTGACAATAACGATAATGATCCATGATGAATGGTAAATGGTGTTTGAAAATAAAGGTTATAGATTTTTCGTGATTTTAAAAACATTTGGGGTTTATGTTATATATATATATATATATATATATATATATATATAATTTTAACTTTTAAAAAATATTTTCTAAAAAATTATAAATACGACACGCATCAGATAACATTTTTTTTGACAATTGTTACAACATAGCCATTTAAAAGATTAACATTGAAAACATTAAACACCTAATTTTAATGAAAAATACTTTAAACACTTAAAGTAAACAAAGAGTATAATTTGATCATTTTTTTCATTAAACTTGTTTTTAACTAGAAATATTTAAGACCCAAAATGAGAATTCAAGTATAGTGTAAGAGTCACTTTACCATTTAAGCCTTTTATTTTATTTTTTATATAAACAAATATCTTTTAAAAGGAAAATAAACCAATTATTTAATACACTAATAATAGAGTTGTTTTAACCAATTATGAAACTAGAACTCTACATTACCAGATTATAATCTTATATAATCTACATTACTTTTAAAATATACAAATATTAATAAAAAAGTTATTTAATAAAACAAACTAACAGTCTTATCTAAAAACAGATTAACAGTCCAGTAAAATAAGACAACAATAAAATAAGACAACAACTAGTTGAAGCGTTGTTGTCTGATATTGAAATCCACTATCCTCCAAGATAATATGAACAAGGCTTTATAATATTTTTGCCTACTGTATATACAATCCTTGAGGATTGAAGCAACCCACTCAATTTTATAAGGTAGTTTATTTCCCATCTCTTCAACTTCATGATCAAGAGTATCTGAATCGCCAATTCAAGCTTCTTTTTTAATCTTTTCCCTTTTATTATTATTGTTGAAGGCTCGATCGTTTTCTTCTTCACAAACAAAAACCTAAATTCAATATAAAACTCTGTACGCAACCTCTATGTCAATGGCGTCTCTGGCCCCGATCTCCCAATGCCACACTCTTCTTCGAAAACCCAGTTCTAAACTCAATTTGTCTTCCAGTTTTATCCCCAGGGATTTGCCGTTTTCGAAAACCCAGTCTTTTGAACTTCCTAGGATGGCTTCTAAGAGCTACATCGTGTCGGCCTCCACGAAGGAGATGTCCCGGAAGAGGTACCCTGGAGAGGCTAAAGGGTTTGTGGAAGAGATGAGATTCGTGGCTATGAAACTGCATACCAAAGAGCAAGCAAAGGAAGGAGAAAAGGAAGTCAAACAGCCCGAAGAACGTTCCGTGCGGCAATGGGAACCCACCGTTGATGGCTACTTGAAGTTCCTTGTGGATAGCAAATTGGTCTATGAAACGCTTGAAAGTATTGTTGATAAGGCCGCTTTCCCTATTTGTAAGTTTACTTTTCAGTATCTTTTCGTCTTTTCCCCTTTTTAGCTATTTAAAAAAAAATCATTAGCTTAATTTCGTTCTTTTTGAACTGTTTGATTTGGTGTATATGTATGTGTGTGTGCATATATATATATATATATATATGATTTGTTATAGTTCTATTAATGCTTATGTTTTTCATAGGATCTTGATTGATCTTAGAATCTGATCATGTGTGAGCAGAGGTTTCTTAGATAACGACGAATCTTAAAAGTTTCTTAGATGATGGTTCCTAGGATTTATTATGCGACACCAGGAAGTAAATTCCCAGTAACTTAGTTTCAGATGGTTTATCATGCATATCCTACTTCATAGCTTGCTCTTGTATCCTATATCGAATGTTTCTTCGGCGTGGTAAAACTGACGTAGTGTGCTGCAGATGCCGAATTCAAAAACAATGGATTGGAAAGGTTTGAAAAATTGGCGAACGACTTAAAATGGTTCGAAGAGCAAGGCTATGGCATTCCAGGACCATCTTCTCCTGGTGTTACCTATGCAGAGTATCTTAAACAAGTATCTGAGAACGATCCTCAAGCCTTCATATGCCATTTCTACAACACATATTTTGCTCACTCCGCCGGTGGTCGGATGATTGGGAAGAAGGTAAACTCAAGTATTTTCCTCTAAACCATCATCTGAAATATCTTGCAAGTGTCTATCTAGTTGATACCTCGTGTAGTGCTTTTCTTCTAACATGTCCCGGCACCACAATCGATACGGACCTTCTCCCCTTGGTTCAATTTATAAGGTCATATACTCGAACACCTTTTCTCACCCTCTTTTGTACCAGGTAGCTGAGAAGTTACTCAACAACAAGGAGTTGGAATTTTATAAATGGGATGGTGACCTTTCCCAACTGTTGCAACATGTCCGGGATAAACTGAACAAAGTTTCCGAGGTAAGTTCCATTGTCTTGTGAACACAAGGTCTCCTGGTCTATATAAACTCATCACCTTTATTCATATCTGGTGTTTCAGAGCTGGACAAGAGAGGAGAAGAACCATTGTTTGAACGAAACCGAGAAGTCGTTCAAGCATTCCGGGGAGATTCTTCGTCTGATATTGTCATAGTGTACATGTCTGTATCGTCTTCTGTAAAAATACCGGCGCAAGCCGAATTATGTATGAACCAGATTACCATTGTCTATATCACAAGCTAAACAAATTTATAATTATGAATGGAAGTGTTTGATAGTATTATGAATCCAGTAGTTGTTATGTTTATTATATTTACCTTAGACGAACTGTCTCTCACGTAATCATCAAATTAATAAATTCTAGTGTAATGTAGTGACAATGCTTTTATGATATTAAAATTAAAAACAAATAATTAAACAAGGATCTGATATAATTTACAATCGAGACTTGAGAGTAATGTCGTAACTACCGCTCTTTAGTTTGTTCGTTTGAATGGTTAACCAAGGTGTGGTTTCAATTTTTAATTGATATTCACAATTCATGAATGAGATATTTGGATGGTAATGATTAATGGTGCCGTCTTCAAACTCTACTCTATTTTATATTGATGTTTATATTTTAAAACATTTTAATTAGAGTATCATGCGGTCAAATTACTTATTTTCATCTACTCATACTCTTTATGGTCACGAGTCTTAGACTTACGAGGAACATTCTCATTCCTTATTTTAAACTAAAATTATATTTTGAATTTATCAAAAAAAAAAAAGTATTTCAACTAAAATTTTAAGTTATCTGTCTATTTAATTAGGTTACTTAATCATTAAATCTATTGATGTAATTGTTAAACGTCATATCAAATTTAATTTGTACTCTATTATAATCTGATATGGTATTTTACAGCCAATGAATTTTTTCATGTGGATTAAAACAATTCATGTCACTTCTTTTTTCTTATTGTCCATTTAACTTTAAAGCAACAAAATGCTCGTCTCTTTTACTTAAATTTGAATTTGTCTTTAAAGATTTAAGGATCAAATATAAAATTAAATTGACAATTAAAATATTTTAAAATTTGAAGATCAATATAAAATTAGTATCCTAATTTATAATTGGATTTGGATAGTACAACCAACTTTGATGGTGTATTAAAAATAATGGATGGAAGGTATGGGAAAGAACTCAGTTAGATAACAACTTATTAAAAAAAGGTTTTTGTCCGCTTTAGTAAGAAATATCTGTTTCCTAGGAAGTATATCGCAGGTTCGACCCATGCCTGGCGCGATTGTTACTGCTTTTTCCAAGTATCTTCCATCCAAGACAACCTTTTTACAATTCACAAAATCAAATAGTCGTATCATAATAATTCATACACAAACATTTAATACAAAATTCAAATAGAAGTACGAATTTAAGATGATAAATGGGTATAATTTCGTAGATTTTATACCGTATTCGTTTTAATTGGGGTAGAGATGTGCATAACTTTAGTGGGTAGTGGGCGGGTGTAGATTTAGAAAGTGATACCCATCGCGGGTAGTAGGTGGGTGATGGTTTTGAGACCTTACCCGCCCCGTATCTATTCATCTCACATCTGCTCACCCACTAAATATCCATTAAATTTTAGATCATTATAAATTTAGGTATAATTTTAGGGTTTGTCATATGTGTTCCAAAGAACAAAAATAATTATGTGTTTGCCATTTATGTTTCTAGACTTTAATTATGTCTTTTATTATGGTGTTTTATGTACTTTAAGATCTATGTTAACACAAAACTCAAATAATCATTGGTTTATTTTATTATATTTCTTAATGGACGTATTTATTTTATGTTTGTTACATATGCATAATTTAAGGTTGTTGTCAGACGGGTCTAGCCGGGCACGTCTCCAGTTGGGTGGTAGGGATGGATTTGAGAATGTACCCGCGTGGACGGGTGTGGATTTAAAAATTTTTACCAATCATGAGTGGTGGGAAGGTGGTGGATTTAAAAATATTAGGTGAGTACGGGGATGGGGGAGGGGTATTCGCACCCAACCCGCCCGTTTGCCACCCCTAAGTACGATACTATCGGCTTCTATACATTTTTTAAAGTATAATATATTGGTGTAGGAGTAAGTAAAACTCGACTCAAAATGACTTTGAGTTGTAATTTAATAAAATTGACTTGACACAAAAAAAAATTCAATTTCAAGTCGAATTATAAAATGCAACTCAAATAACTCAAAATTGTTAGTAATTAGTGGATTGGTTTTTACATTTGAGTCGAGTCTCTCAAATCCGTATATATATATATATATATATATATATATATATATATATTGCACATAATTATAGAAAATCATTCAAATTGGAAGCAAATAGTATCATAATTTTATAAATATTTACAATTAAATTTAAACATAAACGCGAACAACTCGATTTAACTTAAATTTTATAAACTCGATTTGACTCGAAAAAATTTCAAATTAAATTTGAATTATAAAATAAGAATCTCACCCCAATATTGGTATTAAACAAATCTCTGTATCAAACATGATTTCTGAAATGAAAGATGTCATTAATGAAGCAAAGAGTATTGTTTATCCAAGAAACGAAACAGCTAAAAGATTAAAAGAGAATGATCCAAGTAAACATGGTTGAAGACAACCTTAAAGCATTGATGTCTTGACGTTTAGCCGCTCATGAATCCACCAAGAAAGCCGGCTCCATTGCAGTTCCCGCATAAAACCTCCTTTTTCCCCCTGCAACCAAAAACATTCATTCATCCTATCAAAACGCTTATTGCTACCACTTTTACTCATCCATCAAACTGTGGAATCAGAATGCTTTTGGAATCATGGCGGTTAGGAACCTGCAAAGCCAACACAGTCCACCGGCTTTAAATCGTCCGTTGAAGTGATCAACAGAATTAACTCCGGTACCTTTGCATTGAGGACACGGTTTTGAACCTGGTAGTCATGTACAAACAAGTTATGGGGAAACTCAAATCTTTGGAACATTAGTAATTGGTTAATAAAGAGAGTTGGAAGATGTATATCGAGTTAACCAACAGGAACATTCTTCTCTTTTGGGTGAAGCACTCAAGCGAAGAGAGCTAGTGGAACATCACTTGACAAGAAGGAACTTTTCTTTTATGGTGTATGTAATTTCTTATGTTAATGTTCATTTTACTTCCATAAAAACAAAACCAGCCGCTGTGCTGCCCCATGTAATGAATCACCAATGCATATAGCAGCACAAAGTCTCAAATTTCAACAGTTCAATGCATATCAGTATATATCAACAGAAAAGACCAGTCCAAAGATACAAGTAATCACCCACAATTTTGCTTACCGTTTGCTTCACAATCGGGGCAGACGATGCTCTTCAATTGAGTACTTTGATTTTTATCTGCAGCCTGTTAAACCAAATACTAAGGTAACTTGCAACCAGGAAGATCAAGAATCATAAGCAGAAATTAATGACGTAGATTGTAACAAAGCCGGAATAGAAGACTTCAGGTTCCACAATTTCACTAACAAAATGCAAAATTATAACGATTAACGAAAGGGGATAGTTAAAATAAATATAAAATTCACCTTGGCCTCAAAAGAATGAAGTTTGACATTCCTGGAGCTCTTACACACTTCACTTACGCTAAGAACCTTCCTTGGAGTAGAGTCATTGATAATTATCCCTAAAATCAATGAAAAATAAAAACAGGGTCAACTAAGATTAAACCAATGTCAGTGAAAACAGCAACCTTTTAGAGAACCTGGTTTATTGGGAGCGCCGAAGGCACAAACTGAAGTGAAACATAAAGAATTAGCTATTCCTACTTTTATTCTTAAGTGAGTTTCCAGTAGGTCTGGTCTTTCAGGGTATCTTCTTGGACACCTTCGTGTTATAAATAAAGCTTTGAACTTCGGAGAGTAAAACAGAGGAAGAAAAGATATGCTTTTCAGCTTCCCACCGGATAAGCCTAAAGAAACATACAAAAACCATATACCAGTAAAATTCTGTTTTTGGTCCCTCTATTATACTGATTATTGCAATTTAGTCATACACTTGAATTTCACCTAATTTGGCCTTCTTACGTACATATTAGTTGGAATTATTTACACCATTTAACTATCTTTGTTATCAGTTTTTTTAAAATAAATTGTTATTTTTGTCTAATGTAATTATATATATACATTCCTTTATTAATACATTCTATTAATATTAATACCATCAAACATGAACATTTTTGTTCAAAAAGTTCAGAAAGCCCATGAGAATGTCCTAATAGAACATCTAAACCAAAACTAAAGTGCTGCTTCATACAATCTATTGTTCATGTTTCATGATAGAAAACACAAAATCAAAGGATGCATGAATTGAACTGTTTTGTCAGTTAATATAAATTCAATTAACATCAAAATGTATGGTCTGCATATGCCATATCAGTCCAGGTAACATTCTGGACATACATCAATCTCGTATAGAATCATACAATATGCAAATATATCAATAAATAATATTAGCATGTGGTCTAACGCTTCCCTTAGCAGCTTGAGAACCCAAATATACAGGGTCTGCAAACCTTAAAAACTATGTAAACTACAAAGATTTCGTTTTAAGCCATGTCACGAGTACTGTCCAAAACAGACTGCATTTCCATGTTTTCCATGGACCGGTGCAACGTGACAAGCCTTATCGTTTTCGTCCAGTCTGTCATCTGCATCACAAATGCTCATCGTCATTGTTTGCATCTTAAAATGAAGGGGAAGTGATATTTTTTAACACCTTAATCAGTCATCATCAAACATGTAATCAAAAAGAAGGAAACCATTGTGGCATGGTTGAACAACATCGTAATTCTAAAGTCAAACATTAGTAGGAAGGGGTTCGAGTTGTCCTTACTCAAACTCCTCCAGTAGCACACCATAAGAACATGAAACGACAAGAACTATGCTCTAGTATGGCAGACAACGTAACTATTTATGCACTATAACTAAAACATTGTACTTGGAGTTTCAAGAGGCAAATGTTTTGTCATATTCGAGTCATACAGGTAACCAACCAGTAAAAGAAAATCGATTTAATTGTGACACATCAAATTGTAAGATTGCATGCAAGTATTTGCAAGTATTGCAAATACAGGTAAATAATAGTTGTGAATATGTTTCGTAGCTTCTTAATGCATGCTCTAGGCTGTTTAAGATGGTCGCAAATGTCAGTTTGATGGCTGGAGTTCTCGGGCCAGTAGTTCATTTTATGTGTACCAGTTTTCTACTTTTTTTCTGCTCTTTCCTTTCTTCCTCCCCTTCCCGACAAAAACAGAAAGACAAGGCATGATTTTGAATAGTTTGAACAGTGATTTTGAATAGTCTGAACAGTCCCAAGACCTCATCCCTAGTAACAAGAAACATAATTCTCAAGCATGTACTAGCATCAAGTGCTGCAAAAAAATTGATTTAAGAACTATTCTCAATGGGAAGCAGAATGAAGTTCTAAGAATGAGAACATATATATGCAACAAAAACGAAAATTTCATCAACTCTATCCGAACTGTATTTGATTTTGATCATCATCAAAGCTAACAGCACATACTTTTTTTATACTCCAGGCATGACTATATCATTCAGGCATAGATAAGGTAACACTGACATTCAATGTAGATATGCATAACAAACTATCAAACTATATACTCCAAACCCATTTTTAAAATTGCGCATTTGTATAGCAAATAGACATGTCATAATGACATATATTATTATTGTCATGCTTATGGTCACAAACTCACAATCATTGCACTAAAACTTCAAAACCTTAAAACTTAATGGAAGAAAAATCATACAGGAGCATATAAAAGACCTTAACGGAAGCCATTAAGCTGCTGCTGCTGTTGACTGAAACTTGTCCAGCATATCACAATACGGTGTCTCACGAATAAATCCCCATTGCTGCCGCTGAAGCTCAAACCTACAGTTCTGAGCCAAAATAGATTGATAATCTCTCTCAACACGCTCCTCAAGCCTTGCACGCTCAATACTATCATCCGGATAATCGTGTTCGAATTTCGTCGACCTCACATAAAAGTTCACACCATTCTTTGTTGTGAACTTGTACTCGTAAGGATACGACCTAGACAGCGAAAAAACGGGCTCAGATGATGGTAAAAAGCTAAACAATAGGATTACAAGAATCGGCAGCAATTGGATCAGCATTCGGATGTTGAATCCAGCAGAGCCTTGATCCCCCGTTCTAGCTCCCATTCCAGGCCCGAAATTGAAACTTCGAAATTGGGTAGTCGCCGGAGGCATCCCACCGAAGAAGAAGTTCCTAAATATCTCGTCCGCATCGAAATCAGTATCGTAAAAGCCATTGAATCCATTGCCCGCGCTACGATACTGTGAAGTTCTCCTTTCGTAAACAGGTTCATCTGATCCAGCGAGATCGTACCTTTTCCTACTTTCTTCATCGCTTAAGCATTGAAACGCTTTAGAAACAGCTTTAAAGGCTTCCTCGGAACCGGGAGCTTTATTCTTATCGGGATGAACTTTCAAGGACAGTTTCCGATATGCTTTTCGAACATCATCAACAGAACACGTTTTCTCTAACCCCAGAATTTCATAATAATCCTTCTTTTTCCTGATTTGCTTCACGATCACGACTTGCTCTTCGGTGTACGTACCTACGGCATTCGCCGGCGGGGAAGAAGAAGATGCAGCCGATCCAGCCGGTGGATTCCTCCGGCGAATTGAGGGTTTATCAGACGGCTTAGATTGAGAAGAATCAGGCGGAGGATCCGGGGTAAACCGATCGTCGGATTTGGCTTCAGCAGCTGCTGATAAGAGATTGTCGACGGGAAGTGATGGGTCGAGACGACGTGCTTTGGTGAGGAATTTGAGCGCACGGGCTCGATCTCCGGCGTCCAATGCATCTTTACCAATTTTCAAGCATTTCAAGGCATCATCTTTGTTGCCATCCATGTTCAAATTAAAAGAATAAAATATGGAGAGATGAGTATTGAATTGGAGGTGGAAAATTGAGGGGTCTTGCCCTAGAGGACCTAGGGGGTAAAAAGGGTATTCGCTATATGCTATTCATAGTACTGGGGCTGATTTTTTCTGGTGATGGGAAGAAGACGGCTAAATTACATAACTGACACCGTTTGCTTTTAATTTTAATTTTCTGATACCGTTTGATCAATATTTCCAGAAGTAGTACCCTTTCTGCTTAGTTGGCAAAGGCGCGACCCCGGGGGCGCGCTTTACCCGTGTTTTTCGCTGAGTTGGATGCCACGTGTGGAAGGCGCGTCCCCGGGGACGCGCCTTTGCCAACTCAGCAGACACGTATTTTGTTTTATAATAAATAGTTTATTTTTATTATTATTATAAATTAATAATATATTATGTAAAATGTTTCGATTATAATGTAAGAATTATCAAGTTTCGAGTATTTTTGATTTTGATTATCGATCTATTAATTTTATCAGTTAATTATTTAAATGTTATCAATCTAGCCATCTCATATCAATATTTAACGAAAATATTGATGCATAAGTTAATAAATTAGTATAATTACATATTTAATCTTCAAGACTTACATATTTTATAAAATTAGTCTTATTGAAAATTTAATTTAATAAATTTAATCCTCCAATCAGAACATGAAATGTGTCATCGTATACATAAATTTTTTAATAACTTTTAATTTGTTTAATTTAATATTTTTCTCTACTTAGAAGGTGGAATTATTATTATATTTTAAAAAAATTATAACTAATAATATTAATTATATTAAATAAATATATTAAATATATTTATGTATTTAAAAGTTAAAAAAAATTATTTAGGTGTACATACATTGACAAATTATATAAATGCAATAACATTAAATTATTAGAAATAAAAACATTCATTTAAATACAATATTAATTACATAAGAGTTAACGGTTATATGATGATAACAGAGCTGGACATTTTTTTCTATTGTGCCCGATGTTTCTACAATGCCCACATCGTTTTTGTTCTGTTGACTTCTCCCGAATATCCATATCACAATGTATTCTAGTAGATTTTGGACGACTTGAGTCCCTCAATAGCAATGGATCTGGTACAATTGTAAGTCAAGTTTGAATCTCATTTGGGTCTCTTTCGTTTCCTATGGGCGGAAACTCAAATTCATATACCTTGAATACTTGTGAAAGTTGGTATACGGGATCAACATAATTTTGTAGTCCAAATGCGAATGTGAGCAAGCAGCAATGACATGAGAGCATGGATATTGAGTGCTTGAAAGAAACCACAATCGCACCACCTCTCTTGCAGATTAACTCTGAAAGAGTTAGCTTCAATCCCTTGCAGCGGACGTGGCATTTCGGTTACACGAAACAATTCACGGGTGTGAGAAAAATTTGTAACTAACATCCCATTTGATGCAGCCACTTTTTTCTGTAAATCGGCTACTAGTCTTGGGTGGTAAATATGTCCGTTTTGCATCCAAGTAAGAGCTTGTCCACCGAGTTTTGCAAAGAGTTGACCCAAACGAAAATAAGTCGTTTTGACCAACGCCGTGACTGGTAAATGACGCGCCCCCTTTAAGGTTGAATTTATTGCTTCAGCCAAGTTTGTTGTCATATGACCATAGCAATACCCCCCGTCATATGCATTTGTCCACATTTCTTTGCTGATGTCCATAATGTACTCGCACCCCTTCTTATTTTTGCCAAACAACTCTTGTAGCATCGACTCAAACCTTTGAGGTAAGAGTTCGTAACCTAAGCCATTAGGAATATGTAATAGTTAATATGAAGTATAAATAAGTAATAAGAAATTGATAGAAAAATTGGGAAAAAGTAACATACCCATCCGCACGACTAACTGACGTTCATCGTTATTCT